CGACTGTTTGTGTGACGCGCAACTGGTCCATGGAACCACCGATCTGACTCTAACCCAAGAACCACTGGTCTAACCAACCTTTTATATTCGGTTCTCCGAGGGCTATGTACTGCGTCATGTGGAACCTCCAAGCTACCAATATTTCCTATATTAATTCCAACGCCATCTGGACCCAACGCACCGGGCAGTCGACACAGACCGCGCGAATATTGCCCCTAGAATGTAAGTTTGCCTACTAATATATACGAAACGCTTGCCAATTTCAAGTCAAGATATCATTCTATTCAAAATCTTAGAAACAATCAAAGTGTCTGTCAAAGCAGTGAACAATACGTGAATTACTGGGCCATTGATCTACGACGCCTATAAAATTAGATTATTTGACGAAGAAACATGTTTACAATGCATTAAAGTCCATTTGAAAAGGTTGATTGGTTTGTTGGACGTGATGGTTAGCGGATTTGATTAATTTCCCCGCACGGCAGTTTTGTATATTACAGGGGTTTTCCATTAACCAAGTATGGCGATTTTTCATATCATTGGCGACCCAAATGGCGTACTGGGTAGTGTACCTGCCTCCTGCGTCTGAGGGTGTTGGGTTCGATCCTCACTACTGGAAAAATATTGTCTGATGAACATAGTGTTTTCAAGGTGTTTATATATGTATAATGTGTATTTATTTACAAAAGAACAGTATGTTTCTCAGTTATCTAGTACCCATAGTACAAGCGTTGCTTACTTTGGGACTAGAGAACGTTGTGTGAATATGTGTCCTAAATATTTATTTATTTATTGTCAATTTAAGATAAATTATACAATAATTATATGATATGAAATAACGTTAAAATATACATATTTTTAGTAGACATACTCGTGAAGAATAAGATACAGCAGAAACAATTTTCTTTCCTATTCGTGGCCCATTTCGCGAGCAATTATTTGGCTATAAAGAAAGGTTGATGCGATTTGAAAAGGTGGCGGTACTAGGAGTTCACACGTGTACTGAATGGTTTGTCACCTAAATTATAACGCTCAAGGGAAATTCAATTTACGGGCAAATAGGGGCCCGAATTTAGTGACATCAATTTAGTATTTGATAGAGTTGCATGCAGCGTACGGAATAACGCTATTAAATGTACTTAAACTATCAAATAATCGCTATATACATTGTATATATATATAGCGATATATATTTATTCCTAGTAATTTATTAAGTAATTGAAATAATTTCAAATATTGTATACACTGAGCGGTGGAAGCTCAGTATCCTTGCGCTCGCCTTTAATTCAATATACTCGCAACTTGAGTTCTATCCCCGGTGCCGGCACCAATGAAATTGTTAATTTTAAGTGCCGAATTATCACGTGCTCAGCGGTGGAGGAAAACATCGTGAGGAAACCTGCATATTTGCCAAATAATAACAATAAAAATATTTCGAAGATATGTGAATTCCACCAATCCGCAGTGCGACCGCGTGGTGGACTATGCCCTGATACCCTCTGTCCAGAGGAGGCCTTTGCCCAACAGTGGGACATGTGTTGGCTGTTACTTTAGTATACATGAATATTCGTACTATGATTTTTCATTTATTGGTGCTTTAGTTCATAGTGACGTGCTGCAGTAATCTGAAATCTTTCGAAATGTATGCTTATTTCTGTTTGAAATGCTTTAAATTTATGGCGAAATACGGCTTTATTGGGTTCTTTAGATATTTCTATTTAAAGTACACGGCTTGCTTAATGGTGTATATTTGGATGGATGGCCTTTGAGGCGTCAACTGACAAGCTGGTATCTGATCCGCTGGGCGATCGTGACGGATGTGTTAACCTTGACTCCGGAAGCTCTGGCGCTCGGGCGGATGTGACGTAGCTACGCGGGGCACGTGGCGGCCATATGGCGCGAAGGCGGCCGCTATTTGTGTACGGAGTACGGACACACCGGTCTGTTCGCACGCGTGGTCATTCCTATATTACACTGTTTAACGCCTCGTCTACATGCGAGAGATAATACAGCGTCACACGACCTGAACTGGTGACGGTTGCAACTTCTCGAATACGTCAATCGTTTAATTTTTTGCGGTTCCGTACCCGAAGGGTAAAACGGAACCCTATTACTAGTCTCCGCTGTCTATCGGTCCGTCCGTCTGTCACCTGTCTGTTATTGTAGATAATGGTATGGTACCGTCGTGCGCGAGTCCGATTTGCACTTGGTTTCTATTTAAACATTATTTTCGAGTATTCGCTTCCTTTCGTGCGGGAAGACCGTAAAGATGCATCTCTGCGGCTGTCTTTAGTCGATTCGGATTCCCCTCGCCGGGGATTTCGTGACGCGCGCCAGATACCCTATCTGCACTGTATCCGCTGACTAGCTTTTTCCGCGGACCCGCCCGCGTGTTTCTTATCAACAAAACACTCTGCAAGGTTGGAAGTGTTACACGTAACCATTGAAAAATATAAACGGTCAATCTCTAGAGCAAAGTATACAACATACTATATATGTGTCTAGGATGAAGTTGCATTATATTAAAATTCGTTTAGCAAGCGTGATATAGTGAATTGTATACGCATAAAAACACGTGTTTAGTGTGTTGCACTGTATCGTTTGTTTGGCCTTAACAAGATAAACGCGTTCTGATCGTAATCATAAGAATAGAGCGAGAAAAAGAAAGCTTTTTCATTGTTATCACTCATTATCAAGCTTATTTCTCAATTTTCTATTTAAATATTGTTTGATAGTATTCGTAGTTAAGTTAACACTTTTTTATATTGTAAAGTTTTATATTTAGATGTATGGGTATCGTTTTTAATAAAAGCCGAGTTCTATACTACTAAAGCCGCTAAAGGTCTGGTACTAAAGCATTTTTTTATGTGAATAGGTGGCAAACGAGCTGTCGCTTCACCTGATGTTAAATGATAACCGCCGCCCATTGAAATTTGCAACACCTGTAGCAGATGCGTTGCCACCTTTAAAAAGAGTGCTACCCCAATCACCGGACGAATCGAAGAAGTATGAAACTTCAGCTTCACGCCGGTCTTCTGTGAGGTCGTGGTACTTACCCGGGCGGACCTGCCCATTCGTGCAACAGCGAACACTGTTGCGTGGTCCTACCACCGTGTCCTCTTCTCTCTTCTATTCTCTAGGTTTCCTTTTAATCATCCTGCCTCTAACCGCGCTTTGTTTAAATTCAACGGACCGCTTTTATTTGCTCTTCCAAACATTGAGCCGAGTCTTGATTAGTGTCGAGTAGTAACCCAGTTTCCGTGTATGGCTATAAACATTTTTTCAAACAAAAAACACATTGTGGCGCGATGCTTAGAACTCTAAGCTAAAGTCCACTAAGCTAAAGTCTAGACGATAACCCTCGAATTCCGCATAGCCCCTAGAACACAATTAACCTTAAAGGTTGGCGATAACTCCAGCCCCAAATCCCACACACGTCCGTCGTAGAATACGACTTGATGCCATCTATCAGAGGAGCCGTTGCCGATATTTCGGGAGATTCACGAAGAGCCGCACGACGTAATCGACGCCGGTTTCCCGAAATTACGCGTGAGAGTAAAAATTGCTCCTCGCGCAACACCTGGGCCGCGCACCTGCGCTAACGAGCGCCCAAGCCACCCCACCTCACCCCTTTGGGTTGCTACCCTTTGTTCTCGATCGCAGCGATAAGCGACTCCTACTGCTGGGAAGTAAGAAACTGATTGACAGCTCAATAGCGGCAATCTAGATGTAATTCATTTCGCAATTACACGGGCACCTCGTATAAAGTTTTCATTACATTGGAGAATAATACTTCTCAAAATCAAAATATGTGTATATTATTATGTAGTGCAAAGAGTTAAGGGGCTCAGTGTACATTAAATAAGAAGCCAACCACATTTAATTCTTAATTTGTAACGCCGGTGTTGATTTTGTACGTTGTTTTATATTTCTCATGTGGTGCGATGGTGCCTGTTCTCTTATAAATTATCTACATTGTGCTGCTACTAAATAAATTAATAACGATATTTCGATAAGAAACTTTGTTCCAATAACGACCTCCCTAGTTTACCACTTTACCTGATCTTTGGCAAATCATTTCTTGATTGCCTATCATATTAATTATGTTTTTTATTTTTTTGAAAAGTTGGCATGCTAGCAGGTCGAAAGAATATGTATATACCGCCCCAAAATGACGCACCAACACTACGCAACACTTGACAGATTGCGGTGTTGCCAACTATTAAAAAATACGTGACAAAACGAGAAAGTATAAACTTTGACTTCACGCTGGTCTTCTGTCATGCCGTTGTGGTTTTCTGTACGAGCCTGCCCATTCATGCCACAGCAGAAGCTACTGCTTAGCGAACTTATTAAGCATATTAAGTACAATGGGCTGGCCATGTCTCGTGCAGACGTGACCACTGTTGCAGAAGTTGTGCTTACAGAAAAGACGACCGACAGTGGACTTATATAGGCCAGCGTTGATGGCCAGATTTATATGAGTATGTATTTTGATTTGATCTATCATTGATCATGCCTAGATCATGCTCTGTAGAGTACATTACTAAGTCTAGAGCTTTGCTTAAAGTATGTGCTAATTCTAGTGCATTCCTTAAAGCCTATAACAAGTTTACCTCATTGCTTGAAGTCTGTACTCAGTGTAATATATTGCTAAAAGCCTGTACTCAGTGTAATGGGCAGCTTAAAACCTTTACTGAGTCTAGTGCATTTATTAAAGCATTTACTAAATCTAGGGCATTGCTTAAAGCCTATAGTACGTATAGTACATTGCCTTAAGCCTGTATTCAGTCTGTTGCGTTGCCTAAAGCCTGTACTAAGTCTAGTGCGTTATCTAAATCCCGTACTCAGTCTAGTGCGTTGCCTAAAGCCTGTACCAAGTTTAGTGCGTTGCCTAAATCTTGTACTCAGTCTAGTGCGTCGCCCGAAGCCTGTACTAAGCCTAGTGCGTTGCTTAAAGTCTGTACTAAGTCTAGTGCGTTGCCCAAATGCTGTACTCAGTCTAGTGCGTGGTCTAGATGGCGCGTTTCCGCGCACTTGACCGCGCCCACCCTGTTCCCTGTTGGCTCAAGTGACGCACTCCAGACGCGGTGCACGTCCGCACAGAGCAGTCTGGCAAAGAGAAAAATGTTGTATCAATTAAAAAATCTATCTAAAATTACATATTATCTAATAAACCTAATCCACGCGGCATGGTGCCAAGAACGCTACGTGCTGCATTTCCTCGCTGAATAGTTATGCTTAACCTTTGAGCGAGAAAAGAACCAGCTCTCTTGTCACCAGCCGCGGCGTTAAGCCTAGGACATAAACTATTAAAAAAGGACACTTTCTTCTTTGCAACCAGAACATGAAATTGATAACGCGTAACCTTAAACAAGCTACACGTGAATAATGACCAATTGCTCTCGGTTGTCGGAATGTCGGAGTTGGTTAATGGATCAAAAATAACGTAAAATCGTTTTACTGTCTACATCGTAATTCTTACCCGGCGAACAACATTAAAGATCAACAATTATGTTGTTTTCTGTTTATGTCGTGGGTATAAGTTCAGTTTCTTTTATTAGCAGTGCTATTTTTATTTTTATTTTGTAATTTATTGGGCCCGTTCAGTGTAGTATTACGTCACTTGTGTTTGTTACCCGCTATATGGATCAGTACCTTCCGTCGTCTTTACGTACTCACCCAAAGGTTACCTCATTCACCAGACGAAACGCAGAAGTATAACACTTCCGCTTCACGCCGGTGTTCTGTAAGGTCGATGTAATTCCCCGGAAGGACCTGCCTATTCGTGCAACAACAACTCTTACTTGGCCATACGTTAAACTTAAAACACTTTATTGTAAGGTGGCAAAGCATCTGCAACCCTACGGGCGGCGATTATTACTTATCATCAGGTGAAACGACTGCTCGGTTGCCTCATTCTCAATAAAAAACAGAAAAAAAACTACCACCAACAGATACCGCGGTCTACAAACTCCACCACCAACAGATACCAGTCTACGAACTCCACCACCCACAGACACCCCTGTCTACAAACTGTAGCTGCAAACTCTGTCGCCAGCTGCTCTGTGCGCGCCTGGCTCGCGTTATCGCGTCCTCCATTAAAACATCCCGCGGCCGGCAACACTGCTCAGCCTCAATCTTAGCCATAACACCGCTGTCCGTCAGCGCGCCACGGCGGGCGCTGTGCAAATAAAACCCGCGCGTAGGATGCCCACTGACAAATGGCGGGAGGAGCAAACGGATCGATTTAAGAGCAACGATAGGAATGGGAACGGATGCGGAATGGATGCGAACGTTTATCGCTTGTTAGACAGCGAGATATATGCGTTTTAAATGCTCCGTTTAGTGCCAGTTTTAACGTCGCTATGTGTCGATATTAGCGTTCCGAAGCATATCTTAAACGGCAATAGTTGTGACATAATCGTTTCTTTTTTAAGGGAAGTCTTGTTTGCCAGAAAGCGCCTTCACAAGATGTTAATTGAACACCAGAGTTCGCTTCAAAGAAATGTTTATTTTCTCAACAGAACATCACATTATTCAATGAGAAACTATGAGGAAATTTTACGTAAGTAATAATCAATGTTAAATACGATTGAAAAGTGTGGATAATCGGAGATGTGGGCTTTTTAATGTCGTTATGAAGGGCAGTTTTTGACATGGATATTTAGGATATTTTACGATACATTTTTACACAACATTCTCTAGTCCCAAACTAAGCAAAGCTTGTACTATGGGTACGAGAAAACTGATAAACATACTTAAACATACTTTTCTTTTGTAAATAAATACAAATTATACATATATAAACACCCAGACACTAGAAAAACACAATGTTCATCACACAATATTTTTCCAGGAGTGGGGATCGAACCCACACCTCTGGCGCAGGAGGCAGGTACACTACTCACTACGCCATTCGGGTCGTCATGTTTAGATAGTTTGGCTCTTTCAAACTGTATATTTCTTTTTCCGTATGAAATTAAATTTAGGTACTACTAAGTTATGTTTACGTCGTGTGGAATATTTGTGTTTTTTATTGAATATAAATTGTGTCCTCAGCTCGTTTTCAACAATAGTTGTAATTGCCAACGGTCGAGAGGGTTACATAATTTATAACATGTTGACGTTTACACATTATAGTATACGGCCTACATACTTCAGCCTTATGTGAGCTTGGAGTTGTCGGTGGCGCAGCATGTTACAGAAGCAGCTAGCTGCAGAAAACGGCTCCAGTAAAGTGAAATATCAGCCAATACAAGTCCCACTGGTGGGCAAAGGTCTCCTCTGTACGGAAGGTACGCATAGTCCACCACACGATCCCCTGCGGATCACCGGGCTTCACGTATCTTTGATATATTTTTTTTGTTACTATTTTGAAAATACGTAGGTTGCTTTAAGATATTCTCCTTCACCGTGATATGTCCGAACTTAAAAATAATAAAGCCGTGATAGCTCAGTGTCCGGGCGCTCGCCTTTAATTTTATTTACTCGAGCAACCTGAGTTCGATCCCCGGTGCAGGTATTGGAACTGTTGTAACTCAAGATAAATATAAAAACTTGGTGTCCTTGTTCCAGATGGAGGCGAAGGTCAAAGAAGAGGTGCCAGACAAAGAGTACAGCCAGCCGACGTCCACTGACAGACGAAAATGTAAGTTTTGTTTACACGTATATTTTTTGTTTACACGTTTATTTTTCAACTGTGGTAGGGCCACACAGCAGCCTCGGCTGTTGCACGAATGAGCAGGCTCGTCCGGGTAAGTACCACGACCTCACAGAAAACCGACGTAAAGTGGAACTATAATACTTTCGCACTTCGTCTGGTGAGTGAGGTAGCCGCAGCCCAATTTTGAAAAGGTTGTCAACGCATCTGCAACCCTCGGGTGTCGGATGTCTATGGGTTGCGGTATTCACTTAACATCGGGTAAACCGCCTGCTCGTTTGACAAAATTTCACATAAAAAAACGTATATGTTAATTTCAAGTAAATTCAAAAACTTAGTTCGCATCCAGGATCAAGGCCCTGTTAACTTTAACCAGCATTAAGTTATTTGTTTTGGAAAGTTGTCTTGCTAAGTTCAGTCTTAAATTCTTCGTAGTAACTCTCCAATTGACAAGTAAACGAATTTGTTATGAGATACGAACTTATTTATTTTCATTATGCAACGGTTACTATATATACTACTCACAATATGGTGTACTACAGTGCCATGATTATATAATTTAATGATAAATGAGTCACCTTCAAATGTCAATTTGTCTTAAAAATGTGTTGGCGCTGGCAACACTGTATACCGGATATGGCGTTATCTACTCGAGCCAAGGGACACATGGTCGCATGGAGCAGCGGTCACTTGCATTTCGGCCGCGTTCCCGGACAGTGATACAACCACTAGTGCTGCTTGACGTTATAACAGTCGTTAATATTCAAGTTCGGTAATAGTTAAAATAGTAGGATCAAGGTAAAAACGTTAGAATTCTTATAAATGTATTTATGATGTGTAGATAGCGTTGTTAATTATCCATGTATCCTGAAAAGAACAATTATAGCCAACGTATATACATGCCTGATAAAGTGAAACGCCTCATTTTGAACCGCTATAGCTATTTCTTTTACATAAATTTGAGTCAATAAGAATCGTAATGTGATACAACCCATACCCTATGGCGCAAGAAGCTGGTTCAGTACCCACCACCCCAATCGGGTCGTCATATTAACATGGCTTGAAAAGATATCTCCAACTTTATCATTTCACCCGTGTTCTTTCACTTCCTTGGCTGTAAGAACTTCAGGGAAACGAAAGAGATCGAAAGACTTTCAGAATAGAGATCGATACGACGCTGCGTTTCGGTTGGAGATCAATATTCACCAGCAACTAGTAATTAGTTTCGGCATATCACAACTGACAGATTCAGCACATCATACATACGTACATACCTCTATATCACTCTGTATACTATTTACGCGAAAAAAATTGAATTTTCGATCGGATCGAAAGACTTTCTGAAAAGGGATCGATACGACCCTGTGTATCCGTCGAAAATTAATAATCACCAGCAACTAGTAATTAGTTTCGCCATGTCACAACTGACAGATTTAGCACATCATACATACGTACATACCTCTATATCACTCTGTATACTATTTACGCGAAAAAAATTGAATTTTCGATCGGATCGAAAGACTTTCTGAAAAGGGATCGATACGACCCTGTGTATCCGTCGAAAATTAATAATCACCAGCAACTAGTAATTAGTTTCGCCATGTCACAACTGACAGATTTAGCACATCATACATACGTACATACCTCTATATCACTCTGTATACTATTTACGCGAAAAAAATTGAATTTTCGATCGGATCGAAAGACTTTCTGAAAAGGGATCGATACGACCCTGTGTATCCGTCGAAAATTAATAATCACCAGCAACTAGTAATTAGTTTCGCCATGTCACAACTGACAGATTTAGCACATCATACATACGTACATACCTCTATATCACTCTGTATACTATTTACGCGAAAAAAATTGAATTTTCGATCGGATCGAAAGACTTTCTGAAAAGGGATCGATACGACCCTGTGTATCCGTCGAAAATTAATAATCACCAGCAACTAGTAATTAGTTTCGCCATGTCACAACTGACAGATTTAGCACATCATACATACGTACATACCTCTATATCACTCTGTATACTATTTACGCCAACAAAATTGAATTTTCGATCGGTTCGAAAGACTTTCAGAAAAGGGATCGATACGTCCCTGCTTTGTGCATCCGCCGAAAATCAATAATTACCAGCAACTAGTAATTAGTTTCGCCATGTCACAACTGACAGATTTAGCACATCATACATACGTACATACCTCTATATCACTCTGTATACTATTTACGCCAACAAAATTGAATTTTCGATCGGTTCGAAAGACTTTCAGAAAAGGGATCGATACGACCCTGTGTATCCGTCGAAAATTAATAATCACCAGCAACTAGTAATTAGTTTCGCCATGTCACAACTGACAGATTTAGCACATCATACATACGTACATACCTCTATATCACTCTGTATACTATTTACGCCAACAAAATTGAATTTTCGATCGGTTCGAAAGACTTTCAGAAAAGGGATCGATACGTCCCTGCTTTGTGCATCCGCCGAAAATCAATAATTACCAGCAACTAGTAATTAGTTTTCGCCATGTCACAACTGACAGATTTAGCACATCATACATACGTACATACCTCTATATCACTCTGTATACTATTTACGCGAAAAAAAATTGATTTTTCGATCGGATCGAAAGACTTTCTGAAAAGGGATCGATACGACCCTGTGTATCCGTCGAAAATCAATAATCACCAGCAACTAGTAATTAGTTTCGCCATGTCACAACTGACAGATTTAGCACATCATACATACGTACATACCTCTATATCACTCTGTATACTATTTACGCCAACAAAATTGAATTTTCGATCGGTTCGAAAGACTTTCAGAAAAGGGATCGATACGTCCCTGCTTTGTGCATCCGCCGAAAATCAATAATTACCAGCAACTAGTAATTAGTTTCGGCATGTCACAACTGACAGATTCAGCACATCATACATACGTACATACCTCTATATCACTCTATATACTATTTACGCCAACAAAATTGAATTTTCGATCGGTTCGAAAGACTTTCAGAAAAGGGATCGATACGTCCCTGCTTTGTGCATCCGCCGAAAATCAATAATTACCAGCAACTAGTAATTAGTTTCGGCATGTCACAACTGACAGATTCAGCACATCATACATACGTACATACCTCTATATCACTCTGTATACTATTTACGCCAACAAAATTGAATTTTCGATCGGTTCGAAAGACTTTCAGAAAAGGGATCGATACGTCCCTGCTTTGTGCATCCGCCGAAAATCAATAATTACCAGCAACTAGTAATTAGTTTCGGCATGTCACAACTGACAGATTCAGCACATCATACATACGTACATACCTCTATATCACTCTGTATACTATTTACGCCAACAAAATTGAATTTTCGATCGGTTCGAAAGACTTTCAGAAAAGGGATCGATACGACCCTGTGTATCCGTCGAAAATTAATAATCACCAGCAACTAGTAATTAGTTTCGCCATGTCACAACTGACAGATTTAGCACATCATACATACGTACATACCTCTATATCACTCTGTATACTATTTACGCCAACAAAATTGAATTTTCGATCGGTTCGAAAGACTTTCAGAAAAGGGATCGATACGTCCCTGCTTTGTGCATCCGCCGAAAATCAATAATTACCAGCAACTAGTAATTAGTTTCGCCATGTCACAACTGACAGATTTAGCACATCATACATACGTACATACCTCTATATCACTCTGTATACTATTTACGCGAAAAAAATTGATTTTTCGATCGGATCGAAAGACTTTCTGAAAAGGGATCGATACGACCCTGTGTATCCGTCGAAAATCAATAATCACCAGCAACTAGTAATTAGTTTCGCCATGTCACAACTGACAGATTTAGCACATCATACATACGTACATACCTCTATATCACTCTGTATACTATTTACGCCAACAAAATTGAATTTTCGATCGGTTCGAAAGACTTTCAGAAAAGGGATCGATACGTCCCTGCTTTGTGCATCCGCCGAAAATCAATAATTACCAGCAACTAGTAATTAGTTTCGGCATGTCACAACTGACAGATTCAGCACATCATACATACGTACATACCTCTATATCACTCTATATACTATTTACGCCAACAAAATTGAATTTTCGATCGGTTCGAAAGACTTTCAGAAAAGGGATCGATACGTCCCTGCTTTGTGCATCCGCCGAAAATCAATAATTACCAGCAACTAGTAATTAGTTTCGGCATGTCACAACTGACAGATTCAGCACATCATACATACGTACATACCTCTATATCACTCTGTATACTATTTACGCCAACAAAATTGAATTTTCGATCGGTTCGAAAGACTTTCAGAAAAGGGATCGATACGTCCCTGCTTTGTGCATCCGCCGAAAATCAATAATTACCAGCAACTAGTAATTAGTTTCGGCATGTCACAACTGACAGATTCAGCACATCATACATACGTACATACCTCTATATCACTCTGTATACTATTTACGCCAACAAAATTGAATTTTCGATCGGTTCGAAAGACTTTCAGAAAAGGGATCGATACGTCCCTGCTTTGTGCATCCGCCGAAAATCAATAATTACCAGCAACTAGTAATTAGTTTCGGCATGTCACAACTGACAGATTCAGCACATCATACATACGTACATACCTCTATATCACTCTATATACTATTTACGCGAACAAAATTGAATTTCCGATCGGGCGTAGCTCTCAAACGCCTCCGTCAGACGCAGTCCGATGCGGAATCGTAAAGCTGTCACCGTTTTTTACCCCGACCATGACAGTTTGCTGTCGGCCGCCGTCAAAATGGAAATTTCGCAATTCGCCGATTTATAGATCGGAGCGCCCGCGATGGGAGTACACCTGTTATTACAAACGTAATTTACTGTGAAAACACTGGCTGTTTCGTGTCCGATGCCGCGTGAGGTTTAAAAAGAAATCTCGTTTTTGATTTTAAATATTACAAATGCGTGATTGTTT